ATGTTTAAAAAAATACTGTTATCATTAGAAGGTTTGTTCAATAAAATTTGAATTGTACTCTTAATAGTTGATAACATGAGAATTATGCTGACTGTTATTTACATCAATTATTTAGGTAAATGAGAAAAATATCATTTGCATAATAATTTGGAACAGGGTGTACTGTCACTAATATCATAGTGAGCTGTAGTAGCAATGGAAGCAGTCCTTTATGCAGAGACCAGGTTGTGAGGGACAGGGGAAACAATAGTTATGTATGTCATATGTTATTTCATCTTTGGTGAATACATGATATGTCTTCTGTCTGGGAGAAGGTAGAAGATCAGAGCAGTGTCTCTCATGCAACCTTCTAACTGCATCAGATTAAAGGATTTCAGGTGCAGGGCCTTCCTGGTAAACTAGGGCTGTTACAATTTCTTCTTGATACTTTAGGAAGGTGCCAGGCCTTCCTGTGACCATAGGAATTATACATGGCCATTTGGAAAAAAATAGAAAATCACTTTTTGTACCAGTAACCAGATCTTCGGGTTACCGGTGCCATCATCTGGTCAGTGTAATCTACGCCTCCCATTTATAGATTATATTCAATAATGCAAATGATGTTTCAAACTAGACCAGATTTTCCCTAGTTTGTACTGAGATATTTTACATATAATATAGGCATGCAGGGCTTCTCATGAATTTAACTTCCTTTGTTGCAAAAGTCATACGTGTACCTTGGGGCCCTCTCACAAAGTTTATATAACTTCACCCTATTTCTGGCACATTTACTGGAAAGATACTGTTTAAGTCTGCCTGTGAAATGTATGAGGGACTCATCAATGCAGATATTTTTGTGGGGGATATAAAGTTCAAAACATTTTGGGGAAAAAGTTGGTAAGTGGCCTAATTTTGTGGAAACTATCAACTATCATTAAATGCAAACATCTCCTTATTCATTTATAGCTGTTCTGACATAATTGATGAATACAATGGAATATGGTGAGTTGGTTGTGTTGACCAATAGAACACTAGTTAATTTTTTTTGTGATTCACATGTTTAGGGCAAGGCTGATGGTATTTTCAAATTTAGAAACAATGATAGATTTCACTCAAATCATGTATGAAAGGGCATAGGATTGCTGGAAATAAACTGTTGCAATTACAAGTTACATTGCTCCTCAATTAAATTGAATAATTCTTTGAAAAAAAATTGAATGATTAAAAAATGTTTTATTTCCACTTAAATACCTAATTGTGTTGTAAATAGGGGGGGGGGGGTGCTGAAGCAAAGCATAGGATTTGAAAGTGCCTCTGGGACAATAATATGGACCTTGATGCTTTGTGGCTGATCTTGTAATGTCCTGTTACTTGTGCTAACATTCAAAATGCTCATCAAGCAGAGAGGGGGAGGGAAACACACTACTCAACTGATCATAAGATTGAAAACATTATGCTTTATTTCAAACTCAAAATTAGAATTTAGGATTGCATAGAAATACTGTATACAAATCTATATGTGAGGGGCGTGGTCTGGCCACCGGAGAAGATGGCCTCTAGATCTCTCAGCTCCACTCCTCCACATAATCCAGCACCATCCAGCCTGTTTGCAGCCACATATTCCCCTCCAGCTAGGAGGGATTCATTCCTAGCAACCCCTGAACTATGTACCGCAAGAAATTTCAGCCCCAAAGGATCACGCCGACTACTCGATTTCTACATGCAGCCTACTCAGCCTACAGACCATCATGGCACCGGCCAAGAGCAGGGAGACCCAGAACCACTGCAGCAGCAGCCTGTACCAGCCTGAGATTCTCTCCATAGATATGGCAGACCCAACAGATTGTCTGAGTGTCATAGCTCTCCTTCCAGCTACATAGTTACATAGTTAACCTAGTTCAACCATTAAAAAAAAAAAAAAAAAAAGCTATAATCCTATACCCACAGTTGATCCAGAGGAAGGCAAAAAAAAACCAAACCATGATCCAATTTGCTCCTGCAGGAAAAAAAAAAATATTTCCTGATTCCCCGAGAGGCAATCGGATATTCCCTGCATCAACTTTACAAATAAATGTTAATATCCAGTTATATTCTGTGTATCTAAGAAACAATCCAGGCCTTTTTTGAAGCAATCCACTGAGCTGGCCAGAACCAACTCTTGAGGGAGTCTATTCCACATTTTCACAGCTCTCACTGTGAAGAAACCTTTCCGTGTTTGGAAATTAAATTTCTTTTGCTCCAGACATAAAGAGTGCCCCCTTGTACTCTGTGATGACCTCAGGGTGAATAGCTCTACACCGAGTTCACTATATGACCCACTGATGTATTTATACATGTTGAGAATAAATTCAGCTGAGCTCCCCCATGCCTCTTATCAGTTTGGTTGCCCTTCTCTGTACTTTCTCCAGTTCCCCAATGTTTTTTTGTGAATTGGTGCCCAAAACTGAACTGCATATTCCAGATGAGGTCTTACTAATGATTTATACAGGGGGCAAAATGATTTCTCTCTCTCTGGAGTCTTTACCTCTTTTAATACAAGAGAGGATTTTGCTCGCTTTAGAAACTGCAGCTTGGCATTGCATGCCATTATTAAGCTTGTGCTCTACCAGAACTCCCAGATCCTTCTCCACCATTGATTCCCCCAGTTGTACTCCCCCTAGTATGTATGATGCATGCATATTCTTAGCCCCCAAGTGCATAACCTTACATATGTCAAGATTAAACCTCATTTACCACATAGATGCCCAAATAAACAGTGCATTGAGGTCTGCTTGTAAGTTAAAGACATTCTTTAAGGACATTATTCCACTGCACAGCTTGGTGTCATCTGCAAAGACTCAAATGGTATTTTTAATCCCAGAGCCTATATTGTTTATAAATATATAAAAAAGTAAGGGTTCCAACACTGAACCTTGGGGTACACCACTGCCAATCCTAGACCATTCAGAGTATGAATCATTAACCACTACTCTCTGAATACAGTCATTTAGCCAGTTTTCTATCCATTTACATACAGATTTTTCCAAGCCCGTAGACTTTACCTTACACATTAGCCGTGTGTGGGGAACTGTGTCAAACGCTTTTGCAAAATTCAAGTATACCACGTCCACCATCACCCTTCTCTTCAATCCATGCAATCCATGCTGTCTGTTGCTTAAAATATTTTTTTCCAGCAAGAACTCATCTATGTGGTCTTTTATTAAACTCTCCAGTATCTTCCCAACTATAGAACTTAAACTAACAGATCTTTAATCATATGGTAAAGATTTTGACCCTCTTTTAAATATTGGCACCACATTGGCCTTACACAAATCCAGTGGTACTATGCCAGTCATTAGACAGTCCCTAAAAAAAGAAACAATGGCTTTGAAATGACAGAGCTCGATTCTTTAAGGACCCGTGGGTGTATGCCATCCGGTCCAGGTGTTTTATTCACCTTTATTCTGTCTAAATATTTTTTGATCATATCAATTGTGAGCCAATGTGGATCATCTGGAGCTGTGTCAATACCATGCCCATTATGGACAAGAGCTCACCTATACTCCTTTGTATACTCAGGGCTGAAGAAGGTATTTAATAAACTTGCCTTCTCAGTCACCCACTCTAGATTATTTTGTAAAGGATATACATGCTCGGACCGGACCTTTTTACTATTAATATATGTGAAGAATTTTTGGGGGTTGGTCCTGCCATCTTTTGCAATCTGTTGTTCGTTTTCTATTTTTGCGGCCTTTATATCCTTTTTGCATGTTCTATTATATTCTTTGTAATGTTTAAACTATGATAGCGTTCTTTCATTTTTATATTTAATAAAAGCTCTTTTCTTATTATTTATATATTTTTTAACTGTGGCTGTAAGCCACATAGGTTTGATTTTTTATCCTTTTATACTTGTTGCCCATGGGAATATATTTTGCAGTGTGTTCACATACAGTCTTTTTGAAGAACTCCCATTTCTGTGTTGTGTTCATTGATACCAATATGCTGAGAGAGGTAAAAGGATGGCTAATTCCCCTGCACACTCCCTGCAAAGCCGCCTCCTGGGAAGAAGCAATATGATGCTGGGACTTGTAGTCCCCCATGACTAATTCTCCTCCTGCTCAGTGTCTGGATGCATATCCCACCACAGAAAACCCTGCATCTGAGAATTCTCTCAAAGCCATGTTACTCTCTTTACAAGCTGACCTCCATAGAGACCTTACGGCTATTATTAACCACCTACATGATCAGCTTGAATGCTTGGAAGAACACACTGATCACATAGAGCAACATCTCTGTAATCCTACCAAAGCTCATAATGCCATGGTAGATATACAAGATGAACAAGCAGCTACTATACAATTGCTCTGCTTGAAGGTGGTAAATTTAGAAGACAGATCTAAATGAAACAGTATTAAAATCAGGGGGGTACCTGAATCTTTTGCCTCTGCAGAAATTGTACCTTACCTGCATCAACTTTTCCGCAAGCTGATCCCCTGACTGCAACATCTGCAAGCCTCTTTATCTAGAAATATTTTAGCCTGCATACACTTCCAGAGCCATTTGTCAATGTTTCTCTTTTTAATGACATCTCGGCTGCAACTTCCCAGGCCCACAAAGCCTTCCATCCAGTCACATCTGTTCTCAATGATCAAAAGATCACTTACCGCTGGGGTTACCCTACAAAGCTACTGGTCTCCTACCAGAACCAGCAAGTATCTTTACTGACCCTTAACCTCCCTAGCGGTCTGATTATGTCCATATTTCTGTGCTCAAAGCGGTACATTTGTTTTCATGGAAATATGTATTTTTTTTATTGTAGGCCTGTTATTTTTAGGAATAACTCACTGAAATCTGTCTGAACAAGAGTCTAGTAAACATCCCGGGTATGTTAAAATTTCCCCACGAATTTCCCACGAATCATTATCACTCAATTCAAGTAGTTCTAGTTCTTTTTGGATGCCATGGACATTTCTCAGTTTCCAGGCAGAAAGAACGGTAAAAAATGCAGGCAGGGCACAGGACAAAGCACTAGGGACAAAATGTATGTGAAATGGTTTGATACAGTAATGTTTTACTATGTGATTTTGTATTTAGAGAATGTCACTTTTTGTCATTTTCAAATTTCCCGCCAGTTCCGTCCCCGTACGTCCCAACGCTCGCAGGGGACGGAACCCAGATGACAGATGCGTCCGCTGGAGGACATTATAGGGACACTGCAGGAGGGACATCGCGGGAGCGCAGGACAAGGTAAGTGATTGAGGGATCCCCGAGCAGTGCCACATGGTAAGCCCGAGTGTAGCTCAGGGTTACCGCTTTTGGTACTGAAACTTTACCCCGAGCTACACTCGGGAATACCACCAGGGAGGCTACAGATGGGATCAAGCAGTTGCATAACTGGGGTATCGTTTCACGTATCCCTCCAGCTACTCTGAAGCCTAACTCCACATTCAGAATCTCCAACCCCTCTGAATCATGAGCATCCCTCCTTCTCAATATTCTACCCATTAGGCGCAGACATATATGGCTGGACCCAAGCTAATTGAGCAGTGGAGGAGTAGATGCCATGTTGGTAATGCTCCTTGCACCATTGTTATAGTGTGCTAAGCACACTATAACAATGGTGTATGGAGCATTGTTATAGTGTGCTAAGCACACCTCCTTTCTCTTTTGTTTTTTCTCTCGGGTTTTTTATTCTTATAACAATTAGTGTTTGCTACTGTATTCCTATTAAGCTTTGGTGTGGAGACCTTTGGATACAGAAGCCCCTGCACCAACTGTTTTGTTTTTTCTTTTTATGCTTTGTTGTTTTTTAGCCCTTTACTCTTAGTAGTTAAAAGTGTTATTAAGATATTTGCTACATTTTATAGCCTTTGTGCACCTATAATGCGAAATAAGGGACATCCCCTCTCAGTTCTTTCACCTGTAACAACCTCTCATGTCCCTCAAAATTATTTCTCTGAATGCAAAGGACCTAAACAGCCAATTTAAGTGCTCGCTATTATGGCAAGAGGCTATCTCTCAGAAAGCAGATATTTTCTGCATCCAGGAAACCCACTTCTCTCAAACTAAAGCGCCCCAATGCTCTCACAAATTATTCCCCCATTGCTTTCATGCACGAGCTGACAAGAAAGCAAGAGGTGTCATGACTGCTGTTTGCTCCTCAGTATCCTTTACTCTCGCAGACTGAGCAAGACGCCTCTGGCAAATTTTTAATTTTATCAGCCTCCTGCAACAAACACCCCCCCATTATTGTTAATACAAACATACGCCCCTAACATACAGCAGAAATTCTTACACATATGTCTTGCAGAAAATACACCTATATCTGAAAGACAGGATTGTTATCTGCGGAGACTTCAACAAAGTCATAGATCCCAATTTAGTACCAAACATAGGAAATGCACAATTCTGTCCTCTTTGATCTCTCTTGGAGACCTATATGATCCATGGAGATGCCAACATGGGACTGAGTGGAACTACTTCTACTCACACAAAAAAACGTATTCTAGAATTGACCTGTTCCTGACTTCCAAAGTTCTATTACAATCTGTCTCTGCATCTGCTATAGGACTCACCATGTGGTCTGACCATGCTCCAGTATCCATTACCATAAATTTGTCTCCTACTCTTCCCAGACATACCATGTGGAGATTAAATACTTCATTACTCAGTGCTGAGGAGACGAAAGAACAGTTAAGATCTGAGATAATTGGTTTCTTCACTTCTAATGATGGCTCAGTCTCTAACCCAACAACCCTTTGGAATGCCCATAAATTTGTCATTAGAGGTATAGTCTTAAAGATGGGTGCCCAGAAAAAGAGAAAAAACATACACTTACTATCAATTCCTTTCTTGATCGTATCAAAGCCCTAGAAATCCTTAACAAAAGCAATCCCTCCCAAGCTAACATCAATGAGCTTCGCAAAGAAGGAAATGAGCTTAGCTCATACCTACAAAAGGACTATGACTTCTATCTTAGATGGCTCCATCTCAAGGGAATAAAGCTGGCAAAAAAGTAGCCCTACAATACAAATGAAAGGTAGCAGGAGCTAATATCCCATTTCACCTGGATTCTCAGGGTCGCAAACTGACAAAGCCAAAAGACATAGCTGACTGCTTTAGCTCTTTCTACTCAAAATTATATAATCTTAAACTTTCCCTTGATGAAACCCAACCCTCTCTCCAACTAATACACAACTTTCTGTCCCCTCTCCAACTTCCTATTGTCATTCCTACACAACTAGAGTCCCTTTCGCAACCATTTACCCAAAAAGAAATCATTAAAGCCATAAGAGATCTTTCAAACCACAAAGCACCAAGCCTGGATGGTTTTGTCAATGAATATTATAAAACCTATATAGACCAACTGATGCCACATCTTTGTAATACTCTCAACAGATTCCTGACTACTGGAGAAATCAGATCTCTTGATGCAGCCATAGTCACCATCCATAAACCAGACCCAGCTAAGTACCGCCCCATATCCTTTTTAAATGCAGATCTCAAACTTTATGCCAAGATATTGGCCACACGTCTTGCTGTTTATATGCCCACACTCATCCACCCTGACCAGGTGGGTTTCATCCCCCACCGCCAAGCAACGGATGGAACCCATCATTTTCTAAACATTATACACAGGGCTGAACATCACCAAATGCCTTTTCTGCTGATCTCTTTAGATGGTGTTCGACAGGGTCCACTGAAAATACTTGAAGGCTGTCCTCCAAAAATTTGGGATAGAAGGCCCCTTCCTCCACGCCATTTTAGGGTTGTACCCCACTCCTAGTGCTAAAGTATGGACCTCAGGCATACTATCCACCCCCTTCTCTATAACCAATGGGACCCACCAAAGGTATCCTTTCTTACACATAATCTTTGCACTTATCATCAAACCCCTTGCACAAACTATTCGCTCAAGCCCCCTAATAACTGGCTTATCTGTTGGCCAAACTTCCTATAAAATTGGTCTGTATGAGGATGACATAATTATATGGCTCACAGAGCCCCTACACTCACTTCTCTCCCCTTTGCCAATTAGTAGAACAATTTAGCAATATATCCATGTATAAACTGAATCATTCTAAATCAGCCATGCAGATTTGACTTCCCCTTCTGCCTTGCTTCCACGCACTAATCTTACGCTCTTGCTTCAGAAATTTAAAAATGTATCTAAATCACTATTATTAGTTAGAGCCTCCTGAGTGGGGCGTATATAGCCTTATTCAAGATACAGCACATATTGTATTTCCTTAGAACTCTCCCTATACAAATTTTACAAACCGATCTATCCAAGAGCCAACGTCTCCTTAACCACTTCATTTGGGCTGCTTGTAAACCCTGAATCAAATCTCATTTACTGAGCATCCCAAGGACCTACGTGGGACTTGGAGCCCCCAATGTAAAATCCTATTATAAGGTAATCATTCTAGATCAAGCTAAAAAATGGTGGTCAACACACTCTTCAACTACATGGCTTCTGAATTAGAAAACATTGCTTACTTGTGACCCCTCTTTATATTTAGCAGCATTATGTCTTGGACATCATCCACCCTGCTATTTTCTACTAACCATTAGCTTTCTGATATTGACATGGAAGGCCATACAACAAGCTTTGAACAGACTTCATATACAGGAGTTACTATCCCTACCACTTCTGGCACTCCAACTCCTATCCCCAGATCTACTATTACGACACTGGGTCACAGTAGACCTTCCCAAGTTGGATGACCTCTTCCACCATCAACAGCTACAATCTTTCCAACAACTCTCCGACCAATATAGTATCTCTAATAAGGACCTCTTAATATACTTGAGAATAAACCATATCCTCTCAAATGTGTCGCTCATAACCAACCATACCCTCAATGATTTGATTGCCTTCTACAACACTACTTCTATTACATCTCAAGGGATTTATTATATCTACAATCTACTCCTCAGTCCCAACCAAGAAGAAAAATTATCTGCAATGGTTCAGTGGGTATCTTTTTTTTTTTTTTTTTTTTTTAATTCAAATATTTATTAAATTTTCATATTTATAATTACATATAAAAAGAAAATAGAGGAACAAGAAAGAAGAACATAACAATACATTTCATCTACATTCTCATATAAAATTTCTTAATCCTATCTCCTTCTATTACCTCCTTTTTCTTCTTTTTCCCTTACCTCTACCCCTACACCCTACCACATCCCTCCACCCTCCCACTCTGCATTTTTCTCTTACTTCCTTCCCTATAAAATCAAGAAACTTCTCTTATCATTGCTTCATGTATATTCATTTGGTGTACAAAATCTTCCCATTGCTCCCATCTCCTATTATATATCTCCATCTTATCCTCCTGGATACAGTACAGTTTCTCCATTTTACTAATCTGATTTACTCTCTCTACCCAGTCCTTCTCTCTCGGAACCTCTACACTATGCCAGAATTTAGGTATCAAACCCTTAGCTGCATTCACAAAGTACCATATACCCGAGTTTTTATATTTATTCACTGGTAAATCTGTTTTATGTAGTAAGCACACTTGTGGATCTAATCCTATCTTTATTCCTGAGATTTTCTCTATTAAGTTGACCGTTGTCTCCCAAAACTTTTGAATCCTTGGGCACTCCCACCAAATATGAAACCACGTACCAATCTCTCCACACCCACGCCAGCACTCTTGTGTTCTCTCTACACCCATTTTGTGTTCCACAATTGGTGTAATGTGCCATCTTACCAAACTCTTATAATTTACCTCCACCTCTCTCATGCTAATGTTCTCGTGTGTGAGTCTATATATTTTCCTCTGTTTATCCTCATCTATCTCTACCCCCAAATCCTTTTCCCATTTTTCTATGTACCCTGGTTTTACTTCCGTGACTAACTCAGTGAGAATTTTATAAATTTTTGCCGTGCCCCATTTTCCATCTCCCCGTGATTCCAACAACCTCTCAAACAAATTCCACTCCTTTCTCCCTCTTATGGGTTTCGGAAGACCCTCAACGAAGTGTTTTAATTGGTGATATTTCCACTCATCAATCTTAATAAAAAGTTCCCTTCCACCTTTCTTTAAATCTTTCAATGTTTTCAATTTCTGTCCATCCATAATATCCCTTAGTTGAATGTCTTCCTTTTTAATCCATTTTCCCATACTCCCCTCGATACCTGGTGGAAAGTACTCCATATTCCTTAGTGACATTAATTGTGAATTAAAATCCCAATGCATATACTACTTGTGTAAATTATCCCAAACCTTTAAAACATTCAATGTAAACACACTTGTGGTTTCTTTTAAACCTCTATATTGTGCTGGTGCCCATATATTTCTACTCAGGTCAACTCCACTCAGATCATTCTCTATCTTCACCCATCTTTTCCCCCTTAT